GAGGAGATCGTCCCGGAAAATATCTTGAGCTAGCCTTGCAAGGTCACGGTCTTATGCAGAAACCCTGCTCGCTGATTCCCAGAGAGCAGAGGCCATTGAAATTGCATTGAGTTTTTGAATTCTTCTTCTGCCACATTCTTCTTTACACTTTCCTTTTTTGTCAGTACCACATTCTTCTTTACACTTCCTTATTTGGCAAACAAATCTATATAAAACAATGTCAAACGGTGTCCAAACAGTGTACTCTACGATAAAGTCAAATTTAATTTCTTAAAACCTGTGAAGTCAAAGTGTGAAGGAGATTATGAACCGGAGGGAGTAGTAAATAAAGGTTAGTTTCTTAATGAAGTAGAGATAGCAGAGAATATGGTGTAATTTTTTTTATTATAAATACATCAGAAAGGATTATACTACTTATCGGGATCTTATATTTTGGGTGTTCAAAATCACATTAAAACTACAATTTCAAATGATAGTATGAACATTAAGAGCCCGTTTGGTAGCACCAAAATCGGCTGTTTTGGCTGATTCTGCTGAAATTTATGATATTCTGGCTGGAGTGGCTGTTTTGGCTGATTCTGCTGATTTAAGAAAAAAATATTTTAAAAATATATTTTATTAATAAATTAAAGAAAAAATTATATGTAAAAATAGCTAAAATGGTCCTCTACAGTAACTTCAGCCAATACAGCCAGAAAAGTAACTCCAACCTTACTTTTTCGGCTTATTACACAATTCAGCGCGCGAAAGTAAAGGTTACGTGTTTGGTGAAAAAGCTGGCTGATAAGCCTGATAAGCCGAAAACAGAGTTCTCCAAACGGGCTCTAATTTATGCAAGAATTATGCAATTTTTCATTCCAATAATAAAAAAACTACGCCCAATAAATTATATGCTTATCTTTTTCGGTAAAAACTAATAAATTAATATTTTTTCTTAAATCATTACACCTGTCAAAAGAATTTTCAGACAAATTGTTACACGACTATTTTGAGACACTAAGGCACTAGTATTTTCAGAAAGAAAATTATTCCACCGTCGATAGTTTTATTTCAAGCGTGAAGATACCAATGGGCAACATAGATGCAATCTCCTCTTTATGGATTTGATTACCTTGATGTCAAATAACACCGTGGCAATTCAAACCCAAAATTTTAATGTGGTTACGTGTCGAACGAATTTTACATAATTACACATGTAATTACACATGTTTTCATAGATCAAGGCACTCCACGATTATTCTCTTATTTTTTCTAGCACCTGGACATAATACATAGTAATGGTTATTTAAAAGTTCAGGATGTTCAAGTGAACGCCCTTGAAAAGCAGTGCATCAGCCACTGCTGATGTAAATTTTGTCAAAGTGTGCATAGGAAACAAAACAGAGATATTATATTGATGTTTGATTCAATAGTTGAGCTAACATAAAGTTTTGCACACCATACCGGTAATTTAGAAATTGTAGATAAATTGCTAGATTAAATTAAACTATAATTACAATTTTGTAATGAAATGGAGGGAAATAAACACAAGATTAGAGAGAGTTTACATTAAGTATAGAGGTGTTTTTGAATGTGTGTTAGTGGTGTATATTTACTAGGAGTGGGCACGGTTGCCTAACCACATTTTTGGTTAACCAACTTATGGTTAACTGGGATATCGGTTAGTCGTACCGTAACATCAATAACCGTACCGTAACGACGGTTAACCGAGTAACTTTTACCGTAATATAGATTTACCGGTAATTGGTTAACCAGAAAACCATTTTAGAAAAACTATTTTCAGCCCGTATCTTCCCTGCCCTGTTCATTAGGGAGGCATTTCTCATAGTCCAAAGGATTCCTCCATTTCTAATTTCCTTCAGCCTCTCTTCTACATCTCTTCCTCCAACCTCTCGTATGATATATGCCTAGTGAGTGACTGAGTGCTGATTGCAACACCCATGTATCCGAAGAGTCTTCCATGGCTTGGAGCTCCGACCATTATTTTCCGGCGGCCATGGCCTCGGCGAAGATCGTCGCCAAGCCTCTTTTGCCTTTAAGGATGGAGTTTGTTGCTCCCAAAATGAATTGAAACATGCGGAATATGTAGTTTGCACTTTCATGAGCTCGTTTGCCTTGGATAGTATTTGATCGCAGCTTTCCACTCTCAATGGTTTGGGAGTAGTTGGCTAAAATTGAGAGATGAGTCAATTTTTGTATTGACAGGAGCTCTCAATTTTTTTAATTAAAATTGTGTTGATTTTATTATTGAGTTAAAAAATAATTTTAGTATTGACAGATGAGTTAATTGACATATAATTAATTTGGCAGGAGCTCTTCATTTTAAAATTGACAGGAGTTACAATTGAGGGGAGCCCTCAATTTTAGTTAAAATTGAGTTAATTTTAGTATTGGCAGATTAATTAATTTTAGTATTGACAGTGACATATGAGTTAAAATTGACTCTCAATTTTAGTATTTGGCTAAAATTGACAGATGATTTAATTTGCAAACCGTAAGTATGATTTTGGGAGTAATATTTCACTTTGAATTATCAGTTAACCGGCGGTATTGAATTTCATAACTCTATCATAACCGTTTTTTCTATCATTTGGTTAACCGTATCGCGTGATTTTAAAAACGCGGTATGGTTATACACTGATAACGGCACAGTTATCTTCAAGAATTCATTTGAATGTCTTCCCGATTGAATTTTTATCTAAAATTTGGTATGTGTGAACTAGACTTACTGAATAATATGCTCAAAAAAATTCATCAAAAAATTCCACCGGGAGCCACCACAAATGGCACGTCCAGACAAAATCTTCTATATAAGGACTCATTTGACCATTTTTTGCAACTTCGAGGACCAAACTGACCCTTATCCTGGACGGACTATGACAAATACGGAGTATGAACTTGTTTCCGGATCATTTTGCAATTTTTATTTTTTAATCTGACATAGAATTGATATCAAATCAGGTTATGCCATTCGTTGAATGCAACCAAAACATTCTCCAAAGTGAAAAGTGTTAAAGTTGAGCCATTTGTAATGTGAGTCGGATAATGTGTATTTAAGTTATACGAAGAGTTTATTAGTCTTTATATCATGGAATTGATATCATATGGTTTTCAGTTCAATTTATCAGTTTTGATTCGATTCAGTTTAGAATGAGTTGGGAGAATTATTACTAAATAAAAATCATATTGTTTTTCGATTTTGTTGGGTTTATCTAGTTCGGTGTGGTTCAATTTTTAGATTTGTTATTTTAAAATAATATAAGAAGGTTTTAATGAATTTCTTTAGCAAATAAAGAATTTATTTAATTAGATCCAGTTTTGTTCTTTAGCAATGTTGGTTCAGTTCGATTTAATACAATTTGAAAAAAAAAACTATCAAACTCAAATCAAATTGCATATGGTTCGGCTTCAGTTCAATTTAGTTCAATTTGATTTGAATCAGTTGGGTTAAACAAAACCAATATGTCCATCCATACTACTACTACATATGTATAACTATACTACTAGTATAGTACCCATGCGATGCACGGGATATTAAAATTCATGTATTATAAAAGTTAATGTAAATAAAAGATCTCTACAAAAGAATAAAAGAATGAATCAAGAGAAATATAATTTTCTCTTTGTCTATACTTTCAATATTTATTTTTGTACTTTTGGAGAAGTTTGTTAACTTTGACCCATACTTATTTTTAAACATCACTAATAAATGACTATAAGAAAGTATTTGAAATTTTGGTTTGGGAATATTCGCTCTCACTATTTTGTTAATATTACTTTGTTGTGCTCTGATCTCGTTAAAATTGTCCCAACTTTTCTTTTTGGTCCGTCCCATTCTGATTGTTGCATACCAAATTTGTAAACTTAATGTGTAACTAAATCTTTGTTATTTTATTCTTACTTTATCAATACAATGTCAATCACATAAATACACTTTTCTTAATAATCACATTACTTCTCATGTCCAAATGCTAGTGGGACATATGTAATAAAAAATAAATAAATACTTCATATAGTTGTTTAGGAAGATATAAATTGAGCTTTGACATTTTAGAGGTAATATATTCTTAATCCTTCACTTTTAATTAGTCATTTTGAATTAAATTTTTTCTCTGCATTTTATGTAATAAGATATGTAGAATATTTTCTTTCAGTTTATGAAATTTGTCCTGAATTCTTGTTTACACTTCCATTTTTCCCTTTATAATTATTTTATATACTTTTTAGTTTTACAATTGAATTTTATACTCCGTATCTTGCTATTTCATTTCTCTTCCGTCAGAAATTTATTTAGTACAAATATCAATATACTCTATATTTCTTTGCTTTTCTATTCCATATAAAATTTATAATATGTGATTGATAATATGACGCATGCGTAATTTCCATATAACCTTAATTAAAGAATAAGCATACCAAAAACTACAATTGAAATTGCAACACAGCAGCATCTTCGACATCATACTTCAATCCTCCACCACCGGTTTAAAATTAAACCCAATGGATATATGAGTTATGCTTCAATGCTTGGATTAAGCACACACAACAAATGACTAAAATTGTTCTGAAATGGAATTATCGGAACATTTTGAAGGGTATTGTATGGTAAGTCAAAGTCGGGTTGAGCTGGGTCAAAAACTGACCAAGTACGGAAATGGGGCCGTGCTTCATAAAAAATACAAAAATTAAATTCTCCAATTCGGATCTGACTATAAAGCAACTTCATAAAGAAAAAATAAAACTTCTTTTCCTCTAATTCTTTATCATATCATTCAAAAAAATACTCCCTTCACTCTGAAAAAGTTCATCAACTTTGACTTTCACATGAGTTAATTGAGTTAATAAAGTAAAAATTCTATGGTCGAAATTTATGCAAAGGAGAAAGAATTAACTTTAATCACAAATTTCTTATTTTAAATAGAAATAACAAATCTTTTTAAAATATCCAAAAAAAAAATTCACAAACCTTTTGGAATTTAATTAAGCCCCTTTTAAAAAAAGTAGGACCTGTTTTCCCTTATTATTTCTCTGCTCTCTAGCTAGCTTCATTTCTTCCGTCCCACCGCCCCTGCCCGCTTAGCACTGTGCCGCACGGCGGCAGAGGATCTCAATCTTCCCCACTTCTCCCCATCTTCTTTATTCGCCGCATAACATAGAAGAATTATAACTACGTATTATGGAAACAGCTCTCTTCTCACCATCTTCTCTATTCGCCGACTCCGACGACAACTCTGCTGGTACCTGTACTACTTACCTTCTTCTATGTTATACGACACACCATCATATGCTCCATTTTTGTCGCGATATGGTGCTTCTTTGCAGATGAGGAGATAACAGATTCTCAAAACCAAAACTTCGTAGAGAGGAGCCACCAGTTTCCTGGGATGGTAATTCTCCTGAAATGATTTCACACTACTTAATTCTCCATAAAAGGGGGAAAAGTCTAAACGTTTTAGGGTTTTTTGGAATGTCAAAGCTGTAACTGAGACAATATCCAAAATTCAACCCTAAAGTTTAATTTTTTTCCAACCATAAAGCTGAACAGACATTGCCACATGGACACACTTTGCTACTTCGTCCAATGCATCACCTAGAAGTTTAATTTTAGTTCTGCTCTCATCTACACTGAGGATTCTTTGATTATGTTATGTGATTGAAAATGTAATCTATTATGTTTTGAATTTCGAAATTTGCTTTTTTTTTTTGAATTTCGAAATTTGCATTCTATTATGGTCTCTCCTTTTATCCTGAAAAACATTACTCACATATGAGGCATCCTTTGCCTCTCTAATTGCAAGTAGAAGCTGTGCTACTTTGTTCCATCCAATCTAAGCATGTAGCTTCATCTATCATCATCCATCAAATACTCTAATATAAATGTTTAATAGTTAAATTTTGCCAAAAAGAAGTGCTTCTTATGAGCTTCTTTGGTTTCTTGGTTTTCTATTTGGTTGATTTACGTTTTGTATTTTGGGATTTTTGGTTTTGATGATAAAAGTTTTGTTTTACATTTCTATAGCATCCATTAGATTCAATCTTTTTATGTTCTCCCGTGAGGCTCGATCTATAAATGCCAGGACTCAGGACCGGGCCTTCTTAAATTTAGGAGAATGTGAAGTTTTGGCCTCAAAGTTATGGCCAATGTTGTTCTTATGTATTGATCGTATAAAGATTGGTTTTGTGTACAGGTATTGCTTGTTCGAGAGTTTTGTTTCCACGTGTTGAATGCAAATTTACTTTGGCCTGGGACGTTTGCATTTGCAGAGTGGCTAGTTGAACATAGATCCTGGCTGGAAGGTCAGAGGATACTTGAGTTAGGCAGGTACCCCTCCTTCTAGGCTCCATATTGAGAAGCTTTGTGTTTCTTTTCACGCTTTACACTTTTTCGTATGCATAGAGGCCTTCATTCGGGTTCGATCCAGTGGTTGAAATTTAATTTGATAAGATCACCTTATCTGCCATGTTTGCATGTAAGACAAATCATTTGACACTTTGAACAGAAATTTAGATTTGGTGGGTTCAAATCCTAGCAGGGATGGGATTTAATATCATTTTACAAGGCTGGATAGAGCCCGTAGCTGAAATGGCTAACTCTGATATCTGGTATGAGAGTTGCATTATTGTAGGGTATAGCAATGTTGATAGCAGCATGATAGCAACATCTGTAGGCTTAAAACCCTGCTCTAAGAGTTTGCATTCCATCTTAGTTTGGTACTTGAACAACCCCAAGTGCCTAACTCAATCATCATTCCTCTTAAGATTATACACATTTCTAACTCGCGAGATACATGAAGCATGTGTGGTATGTTTTTTTACATGAAGCTATTATACAAAGTAATATTAAAAGTTTGTATATACTACGGTTACTACCTCTGTTCTTAAATACTTGCAATTCTCAAAATTAGAAATTTTACACTATTCATGTGGTCTACTTTGACTATATTTTATTTATGAATGCATTAAAAATTTATTTTTAAAAAAATATAAAAAATTCTTTTCACTTTAAATTTTCAAAATGTGAAGTTTTTGAATTTTTTTTGAATTAAGGAAATAAATATATTAATGGTCAAATATGTGAGTTGATAAACGTGAAAATGCAAGTGTTGCAAATTAAAAAACGGAGGAAGTAACTTCTTAAATGTGTCATTTTTGTGTGTGTTTATTTATCTACTCTTTTTTTCTGTTTTCAAGACTTAATGAATGTATACAGCTAACCAAGCTGGCATTTGGGATAAATAAGGGGGTCATATCCCAAAGGCCAGTCCAACTCAAACAAAAACTCATATATTCATAAGTCAATGATATTAAATTATCACCCATCTCAGCTTAACTCAAACAAAAAAAAAAAATTAACTCCGTACCTATGCATCTGGATTCTAGCATCCTGAATTAATTGCCTTCCTTCTAAGCTTTAGACAAAAAAATTGTCTCTTCTTCTACCTTGAACATGTCCATATTTGTAAGTCAATGCGGTAAACATGTTAGCAATTGAAGATTTGTGTGTTTGTTTTTATTCATCTTGATTGTAAGTCATTTATGTTAGTTTCAAAAGTATTTCTTCTTCCCTCCATTGGAAATAATTTATGTTAGTGTCTTTTTCCATTTTTATAAGAAATCTGTGGTTAGAATTAATTATAACTCAGTGGTATGTATTCTCCACCTTTTATAAGCTTTAGACAAAAAAATTGTCTCTTCTTCTACCTTGAACATGTCCATATTTGTAAGTCAATGCGGTAAACATGTTAGCAATTGAAGATTTGTGTGTTTGTTTTTATTCATCTTAATTGTAAGTCATTTATGTTAGTTTCAAAAGTATTTCTTCTTCCCTCCATTGGAAATAATTTATGTTAGTGTCTTTTTCCATTTTTATAAGAAATCTGTGGTTAGAATTAATTATAACTCAGTGGTATGTATTCTCCACCTTTTATATTTCTAATGAATGGTTAGAATTAACAATGTGGCATTTTTGCAATTATTTTACAATAATTACAACCAGGCCCCCTTTGAATTTTAAATCATTACAAAAGATTGGATAAATTGAAAGATTGAGATTAAAAGTTCTCATCATAAGAAGTTGTCATTTTAAGATGGGTTCTCACTATCCCCCCCCCCCCCCTCCACACACACACATATGACCCTTTTCCAATTATTCCACATATAGACAATTTTTTGCACCAAACTTAGTTTAATTGATTGATGCTCGAAGCCAATCTAGGACACATACAAGAGCTTGCACCATCTTCCATGAGTCCATCAAAATATACCCACGATGTAATGAGAATAATTAAAACACAAAACATAATGAATGAGAGTGTATACCTTAGTTATGTTGTCTGGTTTTGGATGGATACTCGCCCCCTACTAGTAGATATGCACGTGCCCTGGTTAAGGGAGTGATGTCTTGCCATTCTGGAGACTTAATGATGTTGTGGCAGTCGGAAAATGATATGGATTGAAGCCAAAAGGTGTAAAAAAACAGGAACAGATATTTCTTTGGCCCAGTTTCCCCTAGCTAATTAAATGCTTGAAGTATCTTGAAAGCTTTCTGAAAAAATCTCTAATTCCAATCATTATATTGGGCGTTCTTTAATAATGGTTTATTATTCTTACAGCGGAACTGGTGCATTGGCTATCTTTATACACAAATCATTGAAGCTTGATATCACGACATCAGATTATGATGACAAATCTATCGAGGAGAATATATCCCATAACTTCCAAGCCAACGGAATTTCACCTGCCCATCCTCATTTAAACCGTTGGCTATTATTTATTCTTTTGATGCTTATTCAACTCTGCTTAATGTTCATTGGGTATGTTGGTACGCTTTTCTTTTTTTTGTGATTTAAGTTTTTAAATTGCCAGATACATGGGGAGATGCCTTTCCGATTCCCAACCCACACTGGGACCTTATAATTGCAAGTGATATCCTGCTGTGTAAGTATTTGATTTGATGTGCCATGAGCATTACTTTTGAAGTGTCTAAACTATTAAACATCTTAAAGGCCAAATATAAAAATATAATCCAAACATACCAGGTCTTGAATTATTGTTCTTATCAGGCTGAACCTTACTGGTATCTTACCCCATTATGCTCAACCAAGCCACACGTTCCAACTAAGACGGTAAGACCCTATAATGAGTGTACGGGCTTAAAAAATTATCTGCTCCTAATGAGTTTACTAGCCAAATATAAAGATAGAAACTAAGTTAACCAACATATAAAGTCTTTGGCTACCCCGCATAGTTGAACTCTTAGGATGGAACTGCAAACTCTAGTATAAGCCACATAAACTGAAGTGGATTATTACTCTTACATTTTTTGGTGATGAATGCCCTCACATTTTCTTTTTCTTAATGTTGATGAACATTATAAGAACTTTCATGTGCCGATTTTTGTATTTATACATTTAGATTCCCTTTTCCATTCTACACTCCATGCAGATGTTAAACAGTATCCAAATTTGATCAAAACACTGTCATATCTGCTGAAAACGTATACACCTGAAGTTATTGACTCTGATTCTACAGGTTATGAACAACATGGTATGCAGTGTTTCCCTGTCTTTACCTCAGCCACTTTCTTTTTATACACGGAAAATGGCTGTTCGATATTGTTTTTTTTTTTTTGCTTGTGCGTGCTCTTTTGAACTACATCCTACTAAACACAGATTGATTTTGGGATCTCAGATGTGTTGCCTGCATTGCCCAGACCAGCATTTCTAATGAGCTGGAGGCGGAGAATAGGGAAAGAGGACGAGTCACTGTTTTTTGTTGGTTGTGAAAAAGCTGGTCTTGAAGTAAAGCATTTGGGATCCCGTGTTTATTGCATTAATCTTACACCTAAATAAGAAACAGTGGATCAATTGGGATGATCTCTTGCTAGTGTCACTCCACTTGCAGCTTTAGACAAATGAGTTGAGTTTTGTTTTGTACCCAACAGGCTCAAGTGATCTGTCAATCCTTGGGTGTTCCTGCATAAAACAAAACAAAAAGAATGGTTTTGTTTTGTTTCCAAGATTTAATGGTGCCATTTCACCCTTGTGATGAGTGGTGTGACTAACTCTGTAAGGGAACATCTGCATCCACATGGGCATGCAAGGAATATGGAAACGTACATCGTTTACTGACCCATGAATCGTAATGACACATCACAGAAAGAAGTGTAATTCATAACCAAAATCATGATAGATACAACGTATAATTTAGTTCATTGTTGGTATTTAATCTATTGTAAAGGATTTTAAACGTTTGCTACTTATAAAAAGTCAGTCATAAATAGTTCTAACAACTAACAAGAATGTAAAAGTCTTTAAACCACTTTACTTTGTGGAGTATCATTTTAAAGGTCATTAGCCTTTCTTTGAATGAAGAAAGAAGTATGAAAGAAAAAAGAGAAGATAAATGGTAGAAACAAGTGATATTTAAGTTATTTTGAGAAAAGTATAAAAACTAGAGTTGGAGCAAAAATGAATAGTTAGGGTAAGGACACAATCATCTTCAATAACATGTTTATGTAGAGTACAAGATGAAGGGTAAATAAACCATTTTCAATTTGTCTTCCTCCTTTTGTCTTCAAAAGTTTTGCTCATGCATGGAGATATCCCATTCTTTGTCTTCATTTAAAATATTTTTGGTAATATAAATGCTCTCCTATCCTCTCATCTCTGGCAGATCTGTAATGTAATCATTGTGATGCCTTGCTTCCCATCGGACTGCGCAAATTTCAATATGGATGTGCTATAAAAAAAGCATATATGTAAATCAATATGAATTATCTAGTAATTAATGTCACACGATTGAACTTTTGTATCAATGTTATTTTTCTTTTCTTTTTATACATTCTATCAATATTTTATGGGCAAAAACAAGTGAGACTCTAAAGTTTTGGATTCAAAGCCTTTTATCTAAGAAATTTCATTTTGAGTGGACATACTAATACTAATTTATACATCATACCTTTAAGTTTTATCTTACTTCTCTGGATCCAATCTAAATCACTAAAAATAGTTTAATTTCTCCCCAGCTCTCCTTCCAACTCCCGAGATCTATTTAAAGATTCTAAATGAGCAAAGAGTAAAACCTTACAAAATTTAATTGATACTACGTATAAACTACGGAATACTTTTTTTCATCTAACCCCAACTAATCTTATTAACTCAAAAGGTCATTAGCCAAGTGATTAACAATACAATGCGGAATTACATCATAATTAATATCTTGATCTGAGACATTAATGTGTGCTCTTGCAAGCGCATGAGCAACACGATTCTCAGATCGTTTACAAAAAGAGACAATAATCAAGTGTAAATAGGAAGATCCACCCCCTTTAGTAGCACTACATATCCGCTCAATATTATATTAAAATATTATATGAAAAGTAGCTAAAAATGTCTCCTATATCAAAATGACTATAAAAACGTACTTCTAGCAAATTTAGTTACATTTTTGTCCAAAAATGTCTATTTGAGAAGTAATCCCTTAAAGTCACTTTGATATAGTTTTAAACATAATCATAGTGATTAAAAATTGATAAGTCATGCTTTTTATCCATTATCCTTATTTTGGTCATATATTAGGAATTAGTTATTTATTTAATACAAATAAGAAAGATTGTTTTATAATTTGTATTGGGGTTGACAAATGAGAAAGTCGTTTAATAAACCTTCAATTTTGTTTTAAATTTTATATATGCAATATTAGTGTCATATGAAAGATCGTAAAAAATTATGAACTTTGATATATTTTTTATAAAAATTAGATAAATGATGATAAAGTTATAACACTTTGAAGAAAAATAGTGTTTTAATACACTATAGGCCAATGGAATGATTCCACATGTTGTTTAGTTTACTATAAATAAAAAATTATAAATGGTAGGCTTTGCTATTTGTGAAGAGATGGACACATATGATTCATTAAGGATATAATTGTGCAGTTGTGCTCTATTCACCCCTCCACACACGTGGACTACTCAATGTAACATACTTTGTGCTCCATAATTTTCATATTTTCTCCTTTTCTTAAAAAGGAAGAATAAGGTTTGTGATGGTTTAATTAAAGGAGTAGAATTAAAAACGAAAACAACATCAGATTTATATTATTCATAGGGTTGATCAATTCAAATTACTCATCCTCTTCACTTTAGACCAACTCAAAAAAAACTAAATAGACCAACTCGAAGTTTTATTTTATAAGAACTAATTGGATTTTCATTTGCTAATTTTTTATATGTCAAACCCGTGCAATTCAAATTATAAAATAATTTATGAAAGTTTTCTCAAATAAATTTATTATTTTTAGATTTTCCGCTTTCATGGCCTGATTTGATTTTAGAGACTGTTTAGTAGCGGTGAAATTGGTTGAATATGTTCAAATGGATAAAGTTCTAAGAGAAGTGGTTGAATTAGTCGAATCTATTGATTTGTGGATAAATTAAATTTGAAATATATTTTATTAATAAATAAAGAAAAAAAGTATATGAAAAGTAGCTTAAAATGTTCACCTATAACAACTTCAGCCAACTCAGATAGAAAAATTACTTCAATCAAGATAAACATAAATAGATCAGATTAGTTTAGAACAAACCAAAAATGTTTAACCAAATTTTTCATATTTGTCTCTTCTCTTAAAAAGAAAGAATACTGTACTATTAAATTTAGAAATTTTATTTATTAGCGGGTATTACCCGATGTGGTTATCATTTTCATTTGCTAATTTTTGAATTTCGAGTGACATTACAATAAGGAAGGAATAAGGTTTATAACACTTTAATAATGGGAGTATAACGTTATTTTTTTTTAATTAAATGCAAGACTATATTAAAGGCTAGAGTTTTGTTGAGATAGAAGAAGTATATTAGTGTGCCAATTCTTATTATTTTCTATCTCCGTAATTCATTTTTTGCAAAGCAAATAACAAAAATGCAAAAGATGAAGGCACATGGCATAAATAGACCATTGCTCTCTATCTAGAACTGATAGAGAGGCACGTTGCATACAGGATCCATCTTAAAGGTCCCGTATGTCACAAATATTTAAAAGGTTTTTTTAAAAATATAGTTGAAACAAAACTTATCAACAAAATACAACTAAATTTATCACGAGGGAGTAATAAAACCTCGTGAATAACAAAATCGATCATGGTATTAAACTGCAGGCTGCAACACGTGTTGCGGCTGCAATATAACCACAACCGCATCTGGCCACGATGACAGTGTGTTTCGATTCACGGGAAAATCCGCAACGTAACCACAACGACTAGAGAATCGGACTTTCACGTCGGTTATTTTAAAGTTTTCACGTCGGTTTTGAACGTGACGTGTAAGTGAGAGATGTAGAATGTGTTTAAATTTAAAATAAATAAAAAAGATATTAAGACGGTTTTTTATGAAAACCGTCGTTAAAAGAACATTGGTCGCATCAGACTGCATCGTGACCACAACACCAATTTATTTTTTCCTTATTTTTGTTCCACTGTAAAATTATCTCACATGGCATCAGCCGCAATACGCATCGAAACGGCCGCAAGCACAATTTTAAACCTTGATATGAACTAAAGTGTAAATGTTTAGTATGTGATGATAGATAATTTAATAATCTTTCAACAAGTACAAATTTATAATTGATTGTCATTAGTTCATAATAAAATGGGAAAAGAGGCAAATAAGGCCACGTACTAACCAAAAAGGTCAAATAAGGCGTTATTTATGAGACTTTGTCCGGCCTTTGCCATTTGGGGTGGTTCTCAGGGGAATTTTTTGATGATTTTTATTACCATCTTATTCATTAAATCTAGTTTACTCATACCAAATTTCAGCTAACAATTCAATTGGGAAGGCATTCAAATGAATTCTTAAAGATAACTGCGCTTTTAACTGCGCAGTTATTTTCAAGAATTCATTTGAATGCCTTCCCGATTGAAGTTTTAGCTGAAATTTGGTATGAGTAAACTAGACTTACTGATTAAGATGCTAAAAAAATTTCATCAAAAAATTCCACCGGGAACCACCCCAAATGGCGACGGCCGGACAAATTCTCTTAAATAAGGCCTTATTTGACATTTTTTTGTAAATATGTGGCCTTATTTGCCCTTTTTCTCTAATAAAATTTCATTATATTCAACTTTGAAACCTAAAAGTAATTCACAATATTTATTACGGAGTATTAATTTTATTTTAACCCTTAATTACCACATTAACGCGCTACCCGGGCATGCCCCGAGCTTTACACTAATCATTTAGTATGTTGATAGAATTTGTAAACTATTTTGTAGCGTAAATATCCGATTGGTCTTAGTCAGTTCAATAGCTTCACTTCCTACGTATCTGATAGACTCTTGTATTTTACTATTACTATGTACGGAGTATTATTTAAACTCCACTCATGTGCAGGGGCGGAACCCCTATCGGCTTGGAGAGTTGGAGGCAAGGGCGGACTCAAGAAATTGATATTGGAGGGGCGATAATTTAAACAAAAAATTCTAGGTGCTTATTATTACTCCTGCTCCTGCTTTGTGTGTTTTTTTTTTCAAGAAAAACGATTTTATTCAATAAATAAAGTAAAAATTACAGTGCAAGAAGATAAGTAAAAGAAAAGCAAACACAAAAGAAAGGAAAAGAAAAAAAACACCGTTAAGCGTAAGAAGATCCATTATTTGTTCACTGAATTAGCTATTCAGCTTCAACAATTGTGAATCTATGGCTACATAAAACAT